GATTTGGAGGCGAACAATTGTATCGGAGGCGCTGTCGAGGACGCGTTTTGTGACAAAGGAGGCGCCGACGGTGGATGCAGTGCCGGCGGGATCGAAGGCGTTCTTGACATAGCGTTGGACGAGGGAGGTTTTGCCCACGCCTGCGCCATGGATGTGTGTTAGTAGAGTTACATGTAGTGTTTGTCTGCTATTTTGTTGTTGGGGAAGATGACTGACCCTGGGCGCCGAGGACCACAATCTTGGCCTCAAGAGATGAGCTCATGGCGGGGTAGAGAAAGAGGCGGGGCCGAGGGAAAGCTGGATTTGCATGTTCCAGCAGGAAGAAGAGATGAGTGAAAGAGCGCGCACGCGCAAATGAGATAAGTTTGTACAAGAAGAAAAGGGAAAGAAAGAAAGATAAGACAGAGAGTGAAAGAGCGTGAGAGTGTGAGAGTGTGAGAGGAAAACAAGCGAGAGGCGTGGAGTGTGAAAGGATCAGTCAGTCAGTCAGTTAGAGTCAAGCAAGCAAGCAGGCAAGCAGGCAAGCAAGCAGGATTCAAGGAAGACGAGCAGCAGCACGCAGTCATTTCCAAGAAAGCGGGAACGAGGCTCAAACAACCAACCCACCAGCCATTCGTTCATTCACTTCTTCATTTCATTGATTCACTTCAGCCCCCCCTCCTCTCTCCTCCACCCTTTGACCCTCCGCCTAAGATCAAATCGGAGCCATCACGAACTAAAGCAGATCAGCCGATCACTGACGTCTGTCTGTCGTGCTCTCCGGTGCGCTCTTCCCTCCTCTTATCGCAGTCAACTGGACTGTGAACAAGAATCGGAACACAATTAACTCAAGCCACTTGATCGAAGCTGTGTGCAAATGGATTGAACACTGACTGCCATCAATAATGTTCATTCACATCCAGACGCAACAGTGAAATCTGGGTAGTTAGTTCCCTCCAGGCTTTTCCCCAAAGACCCTTCCTTCGGCCCCCCCTTACAGGGATCAGCTGGGCTTGCTTGCTTGGCTGCAGAACTTCGAGCCACGGAATTCGCCTCGAAACATTCACAATCAGAAGAACACTCCCTCCCTTCGATCGGTCTTTTCCGGAGCCATTGCTGACGAACGTCAATGATGGACTTTGTCCGGGAGTTCATCCCATCCTTGCAAATTTTGAGCCTCAGTCCAGAGCTATTGCAGGGCACAGACCGCTAGAAGGTGCGAGAGCCCGCAAAGAACGAGATTGGAGCTTCTAGCCTTTTTTTCTTCTCCTTCCCTTCCCTTCTCAACTCCCCCCAAGCGATAAGCGACCGACCGAGCGAAACTCGGACCACCTGCATGCAGGTCCCGCGGATTTCTACCACTCACCTTTCAACCAGACAGTCGGGACGTGGTCAATACTTTAATCTACTCGCGACAGGCCAATTTAGAATCTACGAATAGAAAGTGGTCAAGTCCAAGAAAATGCGCTTTTGAAATAATTCCATGTTCTATCCACACCTTTTATGGGTGGTGATCGGCCATCGTTGCTGAAATGGCCGATCCTGAGAAATGTACAGAAACTCTCACCATAAGGCAAGACAAGACAAACATTTGAGCCTCGACCTGTTCCACACATGCCAAGCAGCTCAGGGGGTAATCGCGTAGGAAAATACAAAAATATCACAACAGTAATCTGGGGGAATCTATATGTTCAACGGCTACGCCGAGTCAGAGGGCGTAGCCGAAACAATGCCAATACCAAAATCATGTAACTCCGGTCGTAGACCAGCACTGTCCTCTGTCATACCACAATGATAGAAGTTTTGGAAGACAGAATAACAACATCACAAGTAAAGAAAAAAAAGGACCAAGCATTGAAGCTGCATCTAGCCGCCTTCTAGGGTGTCACTCAAGCGCAGACAACCAGGGCTGGCAGCAACGAAAGGTCCGAAGCATGCAACACGTTAAGGCATTGACTCAAACAATATGAAAATGACATGCGAGCATTTTACTCGAAGTCCTTGCCGCTGTTCGAGCCGGACAGATCAGCAGCGCTCGTCTTCTCTTCGTCGTTGGCGCCACCGAATCCGTACTCCATGGCCTTCTGCTCGACTTCGTCGTCCGTAAGCTTGGGAAGATCCTTGGCAGCCTTGACGTAGCTGATGTTTTCGGTGAAGCCCTTGGCGAAGATGATGTCAATTTCCTCCAAGCTTCGGTTGGCTGTCTCCGGGTAAAAGAACCAGATGAAGGGAATAAAGAGGGCGTTCATGGCAGCGAAGAAGCAGTAAGTACCCCAGCCAATGTTAGACACCATCACGGGGGTAATCATAACAACGAAGAAGTTGAACAGCCAGTTACTGCATGTAGACACAGCGTTCGCCTTGGCCCGAGTCTTGATAGGTGACAACTCGGCCGGGTACAACCAGGGCAGAGGAAGCCAAGTAGCACCAAACGCAGCCATGTAGAGGAAAATGCCGAAAATCGATCCCTTGGCCGTTGACTTGGTACCGGGAATAAGGCAAGCGAAGGTAATAATCATCGCAACACACTGAACGATAGAACCGCCCAGGAAAAGCTTGCGGCGACCAATCTTTTCAATAAAGAACCAGGAGAACGTAGCAAAGATAGCATAGACAATCATGTTGACGCCGGAGATCAAAAGGGCAAAGTTAGTACCCTCTTTCAGGTTTTCTTCGAGTAACAGGGGCAAGTAATAGATGACCGCGTTGCAGCCCCCGAGTTGCTGAAAGATCTGAGACGAAGAGCCGATCAACATGCGACGAAGATGTTGAGAACGACCGCCGGTGAGCAGGTCACGATATGTCACACCCTGACCCGCAGCACTCGAACTAATGACATCGGTGTTAGCCTCCCGCGCGACCAGGGACTCAGATTCGCAATGGCTGCAAAGGTGACTAGACTTACGCTCTGATGGAGTCGATGACCAGCTGCTTCTGGAGCTGTGTCTCGTGGTCGTTGATCTCGAAGCCGCCCAGAGCCGCCAGCACGTACTCTCCCTCCTGGACGCGATCCTTGGCAATCAAGTAGCGCGGGGAATCAGGAAGGTAGTACATTCCGACGATGATAATCAATCCAAAGAAGATCTGGAAGGCGATGGGGAAACGCCACACGAGATCCTTGTTACCGAAGTGGGCACCGTAATCGATCCAGTAGGCAATAGCAGTACCGATAGCGATGATACCACCCTCGATACAAATCAGAAGACCACGGTTGCTTGTCTTCGAACATTCAGCCTGGTAAGTAGGAATGGTTGAGGTATTCATTCCGTTCCCGATACCGGTGATGACACGACCGATGAAGAATTGCAACAGGGGGATGTGGCCGGCAAACGAGGTAACCTGGATAATAACACCGATAATCATGATAGTAGCTCCGCACATGATGATCAAGCGACGGCCAAGTCTATCACCAAAGAACAGAGCGAACAAAGCGCCAAACAAGCAGCCTGCATGGTGTGGTCGTTAGGAATGATCAAATGCTAACCTGATACAGACTGTGAAGTATACGAACCCAACTCATAGACCGAGGTCACCAGGGCCTGCATCGTGGCATTGCCCTTGGTGGCAGTGAAAAGGTCTTGGAAAGCCGTGTCGCTGATGATACCGGACATGACACCCTCTATAGTAAATTAGAATTAGCTCAAGACTCTTCATGGTGGCTCCCAGAGACACCCGGTGAAGGATCAAGACATACGATCGTAACCGAACAAGAGGAAGCCCATCGTAGCAATGGTCGAGATGGACACGGACAATTTCTTGCCCGACATCCCTGCGTACGTCGGCGCCATGGTGATAGGATCTGTACAAGATAACGGCAAACACTCAAAAAGATAGATGTAGAGGTTGAGGGATCCCAGTCAAGATGGATGGGATATCTAGAGCGATCGAACACTTAAGTTGAGTCGCTCTCTTCTCCAATGAACTCCTGTTTCAGTCGAGTCTCCCTTTGCTCGGTTTCACCCAGGGCTAGGAGAGGAGAAGAAGGAGGGATGCAATAGAGATGAGTGAGAATGAGACAGAAACCGAACGCGGAGAAGTCGGGGAGGGAAGGGGGGGGGGATTAACTACTTATCCCCATGGTGCTCACGGTCTCATGCATGCTGATTGACAATCTCTTATCCCCCAAGCTGCTGCGCGAATATTCCACTAGTCGGCGACGGACATTGAAAACATAACCACACTCCTCATTATTGTTTGTTTTGTGGAGCAGCAGGGGACCGAATGCATCAATAACGCTGGGTTAAGCATCTTTTGGGGGTGGATCCAGAGGCCCACTGTGGGTGGACAATGAGCAATGACATCACGGCATTTTCCTTGGGACCACTAAAACATTTCCCGAGAAATTGATTTAATTATTTTGCTTATTTTGTTAAATAATTCAGGAAAAGAAAAAGAAAAAGAGGAAGAAAAAAAAATAAAAGAAAAGACATAAATGGAGGGGGAAAAGATTGTAGCCGCAAAAAAGGGGGCCCGGGAGGAAGGCAAAGAATCGTACCAAGGATTGTTATTCAATCCCACCCGAGGCTACCTGAGAATCGGGATGGGCCCTGCAGTTGGCCCTTTGTGGGTGAGTGAGTTGACATAGCAGGTGTCACTCGTTATTGTCCATTTCCGACACACAGGTTGAGACGCAGCATCGGGGCCATAATGGAAGCAAGGCTACAAGCCTGTGACATGTCTAGCAGTCACAAGTACGTGGCTGTGGTGTCCGAGAAATGCTTTTTCGGCAGACTGTGCATCAAGGAATAGAGGATACTGTCGGTAGAAAGGTCCGGCGTAGAAGATCTGATGATGGGTACTCCATAACATACATGATAGCCCAGCTGCCTGCCGGAGCGGAACTGCCGATTCCCAACGTGGAATCAACTGTGCAGGGCTGAGTTGCCTGTTGAATTGGCATGTTCCACTCAATTGAGCAACTCAAGCGAGGGGTTTTTTCATGATGGAGAATCCTCGTGCCGGCTGAATAATCTTACATGTTATCTCGCCTGCCTGGACTGGACTCCTGGAGTCAGTGCCCGCTCCCGGGGGAATCTGAATGCGGGCGCCATTTTTGTTGCAGTATTTGAGCCTCCAAGACTCGATTCCCGCGGCCTAACATCCACCATCATCAGGGTTCAACACACGTCTATTGCAATTGCATCACAAAACAAGATCTCCCTGCCCATGCAGCTCCAGGTCACTTGAGGCACATAAGGCAATGATGGTCAAAACTGAATGCGCGCAGCAGTCGGCCCTCCTTCGGGGAGCCGTTTCCGTAGGCGGTTCCATAAAGTTTTCCCGACTGCGCCTAGCGTTGAGACTGCAAGGTGAGACGACCTTGCGCCAATGGCAATATTCATTTAGCTTATGGTGAATAAGTACTAGGTACCTATTAACTAACTATCCATAATTTTCGAGAATATCGAATGTCTGACTGGAAGAGGTTTAGACAGGTGTAGGGTTAACACACATCTTCGGTCAGTCCATTGCATTGGGTGGGAGGCCCTCGTTGCTGATTCGGTCCCACCGCTCACCAAAATCTGGTTGCTCTCCACTCAAGTTGGTCTTCCCCTCTCCATCTCCAGCTCCATTTCCCCTCCCGTAATATGGGTTCAATATCCCTCCGCATCTTTCCACTCCGTCGCGAGTCACGCATTCCTTCGCGATTTATTCAGCCTTCTGAGCCCGCGGTTTTCGTGATTATGTCTACTTTGCGAGGGACACCTACTAGAATTTAGATTCTCGACTTTAAGACACCTTACCCGTCATTGGGTCTTTGAACGGTGTCCGAGGCTCTCTATGTCCGCAGTTCCACTCGGAACCGGAAGGGACTCAAGATCGGGAAGGCCGTTGGCCCGTCCAGGTACCCCCGAAAGTCGGCGGAAAAAGTAATTGACGACCCAGCCAGACATTCTGTAGTCATGAGACTGCCAAGCTTGCGATAAAAGTCGACGTGTGTCTCCTGCGATCTGCCTGGCTACTGTAACCTCGAAGCCCCCACTGACACTAAGCGAATTCGGGTGATTCTCTGAATTCCACCCCTCGGCGCTGACAAGCAATGAATCAGCACTTTTCGTTCGGAACCCATGCGCGCCGGGTTGCTTAGCAGAGCTTAGCATATGCCCTAATGGTCGAAGGATGACATGCTTGTCTCGTGCCGCAGAAATGGTGGTGATCATGACGAGCTCGATCTAATTTTCATCTCGCCATTACGTCAATGGCGTTTTTGAGGCCGCATTGGCCATAAAAGCGAAGACCAAGCAAAAAAGAAGAAAAGAACACTATGCTTGTTTGGCCCTGGTGTACGAGATGTCGACCAAACTCCCAAGCCCTCGTCTCGGCAAGAGACGGAGTGGGGGAAAAGCTTGTGGGGAAGATCCAACCTTTTTGGGCAGATCAAGTGGGGGGAAGTCGGGGACTAAAAGAACGCGCACCTGCCGCCAATCGTCATTTGAATGCTTCGTCTTCTTGTACCCAACGAATGCGATCCATTGGTCAATGAAATTGCCAGTCAGTCAGTTGCTGATTCTGCGCCAATAGAACAGCTTGGTTCTGCTGAGCAAGACAATCTGACCTCTGCCCCTCAAGTCCGAATCCTACCCATGGCCCCATTGACTCTTGTCGGGGAAATTCATATCCTTCCAGGAAGGAGACTTTCGATTCTTTGAAGCAGCATGTTCCGCGCTAGTCTTCCGACATCTGACGGGCAGACTCATGTAGCAAAGATCGACATGAACGAACGTGTCGAAGTCCACTCGAATAATTGTCTGACCAGCCGCTATATTGATTCGAAGAGCAATGGTGTAACTACCAACGAAGCAGTTTGGCATAGAGCGGTCCGGATACAAGAAACGGGCGTAGCGAAAATAAGACACGCGACAGCCGAGGTAGTGACGACATCGACGATGGTCGGGTTGATTTCTTTTCTGATCGTGAATATCGGGAGATGATAATTGTTACCTGCACGAGAATTGGCCCCATGCTGCGGTCGCTAGCATTGATATGATACGGTTCAAGTAATGATCACCGCATTAGGCAGGTATCAAATGTCCGGATGGGGAAGAGGTCCGCGCCGTCTCAGGCATCAGTATCCATGTCCCGCTCAGTGGACGGAAAGCACGATAGCTTTTCTGGGCTAACACGGACAGAGTGAGTGCATCATCCTCTACGTCTGGAGAAAACTCATACAACGGGGTGTTGCGGTGAGGCCATCGGCCTTCATCCGACTTGTTTCCGAGACTCGGGTCGAATTTTGAAGTTGACTGACTGGTTGAGATCTCGACGGAGACGGCCCGAGGGTTGAAACCGACTGCACACGGTCGGGCTTGGCTGCGACAAAGATTCGGGATGGAACAACGGAACGGGGATTCGATTGTTGAGAATGTCGACGCTTCAGGAGATTCGACCCGCCTGACAGTGCGGAAATTTTCATTTCGCATACACCGTATCACGTAAGAGGTCACCGTTGCATGATCAGCCCATCATTGGCGGACACAAGTGGACTGAATAGAGCCGATGTTGAGTAAGAGAAAGTCAAAGCTCGCCGGTCGTCCCAAGCGAAACCACAAACTTCGATCGAATGATAATGGATGGTACGTATCTGGCCCCTCGCTAGCCAAGCTGCATTCTGGCGACAGGAGTAATTAGTTGATTGGTGGTTGGTTGTTTAACAAGGGATGGCAGTGGGTTGAAAATCGAGGTAGCTTGCAGACCATGCTGTATCTGACGAGAATCTCGTGTGCGAGGTCGTGACTGTGCTGGAGCTTTCGTCGAACGGAAGACTCAGCAGGTCACATAGCTTTATATAAAATTGCTCTGCGCACGAGCTCATATGTCTAGGGGTAGATAGATCGGGAGCCCGATGCTTCTTATACCGACCAGCGGACCCGGCACCGGCGTGCCGAGTGCCAAAGGCCATCTCGGTCTGGATGCCGGAGCTCTCGGAGCTTCGAGTCACGAGGACACGCAAAAGAAGAAAGATATAGGATCGTGGAGTCCAGACTTGGGCCAATCGAGGGAATAAAGCACCCTCAGCTTGTGCGACGTGAAGAGAATGGAATGTGGACAGTACTGAAGGCAGGTTCGGAGAGTGCTTCACATGCAGTCTCCCCAGTTCTAGAACCTCCATGCCAAAACTGCCAACCCAATCAAGGGCGACGCTTCCAGGCATCAGCTCCTCTTTCGTCAATTGGTACTCAAACTCCGTCGCAGTGAAGGCTCATAATATCCATTGTGGCTTTGCAGGTCAACAACTGTAACCAGGAAGCAATAAAAGTATGGCAGCCTAGAGTTGTAGCACTGAAGCCTGTTCCTTGCTGCATGATCCGTGCGTACCTGACAGCTGTAAACAAAAAAAGATCGGATTTGCGGCTTATGTAAGCAACAGCTTCGACTTTGTCTGACTCGGCATTGTTTCTCGCTTTCCTGGGGTTGTTCATTCAACTTGCCCATTCTTGGGCACATTCCTGTCTGACCTACGTCCAAAGACAATTGTGTAGCAGCAATACATTTGTTTATCGCATCTGCATGTATCCCATGCGTGACACCTTATCCCGTAACGTTATACCGGTGGCACTACGAGCCGCTGCCCTTGCTTATCGACGGCAACGAGGGTTCTGTCCATTTTCCCCCTTAGGTATACCGCTATGCGCTGCTACGCCCCCTTGCCCCCTCTTAAACCAAGTGCTGTCTGTCCCGGCAGGTCGGGTTACGGAATTACTGGATATGATGTGAAGATATCATTCGGAATGTCGATTTCCGCGATCTATAGAATTTTGTGTCACCACTAGCAGCAAATAGACTCGGCGATCGCTGCACTGGACTATATGTGCCTCCCAGTCCTACGTGCCGTGCCGTGCTAAAGCACCTCAACAGTTCATAGCATAGAGTTTCTTCGGAAGTCGCTTGATTAACCTACTAAATATTCTCTGATGTGACTGATGTATCACCGGAACGAAGCGAGAGGGTGGAATCAATGGCCTTTCATGTCTTAGCGGGACACCCCTACTTCGGAGCTATTGTGCCTTCGTCCGCATCTCAATCGGCCTACTAGGACTCTCAGCGAGAGCGATGGAGACATGTACCAATCACTGATCTGGAAGATAAGACGCCGTTTCCTCTGCTAGCAATATTCGGGCGACCTCAAATCCACATGTGGACAGCGATGAGTGTGGCGCTTGTCATTTCTGAACACCTGGTCGATGATCCTGCCTGCCCTAGCTACTCGTATGCATCATCAATCTGCGCGTGATGGATGCTTTCCCTGTCCTTGGTATTCCGTCGCATAATTATGACAAGCGCACAGACTTCCCATACCACCCTCAAAATCATGGAGCTATATTCTGCGGTTCTCATTCAACGGCAAAGTGCTCGGACGCATTTCTGTTGAGACAACGGCCGGAAAGCCTGTCTACCATTTAGACGTTTATCTTTTCATGGAACATCCAATGACTTCATGGGCTTCCTACGCCTGATCTATCCTTCATGTGTCTGATACGGTTTTGGTGCGGGGAAGAGGTATATCCGGGGCAAAGCCTGAGGCAGACAACTCTAGTCAACCAACCCATGTGGCCAACGACGTGGAGTACATATCCCACAAAATGAAAGAATATCATTGCATCGGATAACCTGCCGTTTCAGACCATCCCTGAGAATCCGCAATCATCTCCGGCTTTTCTGGATGTCCCATGCATAGCAGCATGACTCGCTTCGGCGTCTTAGCTCAATCCTGGCGCGCAATGGAATCCTGGTAGCCTTTGCCGAAGGCATCGCTAGCTACCAACATTTCCACTAAGTATTACACGAGAGTATGACGACCTTCTTCTCACCATTCGGCCCCAACATGGCAACTAACGCCGTCGGGCAAGCTCTTTGCTTATACGTGGTCAGAGCCCCACCTGCGTTCAGACTTGGTTGCTTCCCGGGCGAGAGTCGTCATTTCCAGAGACGGCCGGCAAGAGTGTTTCTGGGGCACATGGTGGCCCATCTCCTCCCCCCCTCATTCTCCAAATGGAGAAGAAAAATCTGTCCGGGGGCCCGAAGTAGTCGTCAGTTAGCTCTCCACAACTCCGATTCCGGACTCCGAGACCAAAGTGGTTAGGATAATGTCTTTCCCGCTGCGGTTGTCATCCTCCGGACGATTCCCGTGAGCGATGAAGTTCCCAGCAAGCGACAGATTCTCACAACATCTTGCCCATGTCATAACCAAAGACAGTCCGATAGAATTTGCTTCTTCCTAAGGGATATACCACCATGGCTTCGGGCCGGTGATAAGACCGGACCTGGGTGAGCGAGGGGCAAATGCTGCGCTGCCACGGGCTACAGATCGATGCTCGCTCAGATATACTTCCGATGCCAAGTATCGATTTGCGCTGTGCTGCAGACACTTGAAAAGCTTGGCCTCGCAAATTCAAGGCCTACACAAAAGTGACTTGTCGGGCGAACTTGTCTTGATCCAATCTTCTCGGATAAATATTCACCTAATGGAAAGTTATTGCATAAGGCTCGATCATGCAACAGTTTGTGATGAGCGGAGACTGAGTATTCTTTACTCTCAAGTTCTTTTTCATGGTCCAAGCACAGCAAGCACAGCCATAGACGTCACAAATCTGCGCTCGCATTTTGTTGTATGCTGATCGATATTTCTCATACAATCCGAGAACAGACATCGTCTACGGAGTCGGAGTGTGCCTAACTTTCTCGGCACCTTTACAGCGGCGGTCAATGTGAAAGATGCAGCTGAGAGACCATTCCGTTCACATGCAGCCAGCCACCAATTTCTGAGCCATCAAACCAGAAAGCTCTCGGTAAGACTTGAGTTATCTCATCCGCTGCACGACCCGGCTCAGTTGGAGTATCAGGGCAAATCCACCTTTTTACTGTACTCCGATTGTGCCGTACTACAATTTGACAGTTCCCGCTAGCCTCCTCACCAGCCTCCGTTGCTCTGGGCTCCGACGCAGCCAGATACTCCTGATGTCGCGCTGACCGACATGCTCCCCATCCCTCTCACAACATCGTCCGTATACATGCGTCCCTGGTCTCCTTTAAGCTCGGCACGCGACACCGACCCGGCGCAATGCAGCAACTTGTGCTCGACCTAGGTCCTGAAGAAGACAAGCAAGAGACCCCCAAGATCACCTCTGTTTACTTTAGATTCTCATACCCGCCGCAGCAACAAGCCCCAAGCGAATGAAGTTGATATCTGGGGTCTGCTCGCCACTGCTTGTATTCAAGTCGGCCGGATGTGGTAATGTAGTGCAGCTCAGCATTCACATTCTTCCAAAGCGCGTTATGCCATTTAAAAGCAAATTGAGCGTAGCTCGGGCCATGTCACTACGTTGCAATTTTTCCATCCCTTAGCCGGGCGTTGATGCGAAACAAATCTCCTCCTGGCATCAGCTGTCGCCTCTCCGCCAAGACTCTCCGACTCTGGGATAGATAAGAAACCTTTGTCGCATGAGAAGCGGCCGACGGGGGCACAGCAACCTCCACAGGCACAGCAGCCTCCACAGGCACAGCAGCCTCCACAGGCACCATTGCCGCAGCA